CCCTTGCCGCCCGTCTTGTCCTTCTCCCCTTCCACCTTCTTTCCTTTCTCTTCCGACGTCAACTTCCCCGCAGTCATCGCCCGGCGTGGCTCCTCTGAGAGATCGCCTTCCCTTTCCCTTTGTCGTCCTTTTCCTTCCGTCCAGCATTTATCTCGGCGACAGGCAGCCGTTGCTGGCCGTCTGCTCCGTCGAACCCCCTCTGTGGTGTCGCCGACGGCACCACTGCGCCGTGTGTCCATGATGGCCATAACAGGGGCGTGCTCAGGGGCGCTTTGCTGCCTCAAAAATGGGCCATGACGACAGCGAGGTCGGCATGCTTGTCTGCGCGGGCCGCCGTGTGCGCGACGCGCTGCACTCACTCCCTTCTCCGCCGCCACATCGACCACAGATGCACCTGGCGTGGGTGGCAGGTCGCGCTTTACCGACATCGGCGTCGCGCTTTTGCCGAGTTCGGCAGGGTCACTGACGGAGCAGTTGCTTTGCGTGCGCCTAAATGGGGCGCGAAGAAAATCGGACTTGGGGTCCGCAGGCGGTGGGGCGGCCACCGGAGGCGCGGCAGGTGGCGGCACCGGACGACTTGCCGGCAACCTGCGTAGTGACGGAGCGGCGTGGTTCCAGGAAGGCCGGCGCTCGACACGGATGCTGCTGCACGTCCCTGCTATGTGCCTCCATGACGGCGGAGCATCTCTCTGAGCGCCGTACCCACCGGGGGGGGCCTTAGCTGATGCCATGGCACACCCTTAGCCGAAGCAACCTTCGCGACAACCTTGGCGGCAGTCGGGGCTGCTGGAGTGGAGCAGCCTCGCCATCTTTGTTCGCACCTGACTGGCAGGCAGGCGCGCTGGTAGCCGCAAGGGGGTTACGGGGACTCGACTTGGGGTGTAGCCGGCAACCGTAGCAGAAGCAGGCTTGGCCGCCGCCGCGACGGGTGGTCCCTTGGTGGTTCCGGAGTCACCATCATTCGCCGCCTGAGCAGTTGGCACCTCCTTGTCGGTAACGCCTTTCCCACCGCTCGCCTGAGGATGGGTCTGCTCGGCGACCAAAGGCGGGCCAGTCGGAGCAGCTAGGTTAGCGGCAACCCCGTCGGCAGGGCCACCCTCTACTCCCCCGCTTCCGCCTCCCTTGCTGTGCGACGTCCTTACCACCTTCCACCCCGCCTTCTTTCAGCTGGTCGACCACGCTTTTTTGCGCAGGCTTCGACCCGAAACTACCGTCCGCTCCCTTGCTCCGCTTCGAGCTCCCCTTGTCGTCTCCATCGCCGGTCCTCTTATGGCCCTGCTTCTCGGCCGTTTTTCTTTGCGCGTTATCGGCGTCATTGGCCGAAGGCGACGACCACGTCGACCAGGAGCCACAGTGCCGATCATCTCTGTCATGATCTTCATCCCGAAAAGCAACAAAAGACTGCTGGGTGGCCTCCGTCACCGCCTTCAGGATGTCGCCTTGAACGACTTCAAAATCTCTTCTGGGATGGCGGGCGGCGTGGGATGATGTGGCTGGTGGCGGCGGCGGCACGGCGAGCCTGGCGGTCAAAGCTGGTGGCGATGTTGACCTGCGCGGAGGCAAGGTGGTTCGAGATGTACTCTTCCAACCCCTTCTTCGCATCGCCCACCACCGAATCCACGTGTTTCGGCCAAGGAGGAGACCGCTAACGCTCGTGCATACGCGACACGACCCTCCGGATTGTCGAAGTCCTCCAACCACTCCGTCGCATGTTCCGTGAAAGTCTTCATCGACTTCCACGCTTCGTCAAAGCTGCGGAGATGTTGCCCGGATATGTCTTCGACATGGCCTCCGTCGCGTTTCGCAGCTTGTTCCGCGGCATACTTGTCGGTGTCGTCGACCTGCTCGGCCAACCCTTTAACGTGGTCGACGAGTCGACTGACCCCAACAAAAAAACTGTCCAGCCGGGACCGCTCCGCATCGAGCAACGACGCCAGCCGAGCGTTCTCCGCCCGCAACAACCAGTTTTCCCGTCGCAGAACCTCGACGTCGTCCAGTTCTGGGCCCTGCCGACCAGGTGCTTCCCCGGCCTCCTGCTCGCCCGTGTTGTTCGGCCCTTCGCCGGCGTCGACCGACACCTTCCCACCTCCTTTGCAGGCCGCCTCATCTTGGCCATTTCCAGGTGCCTCCACGCCGACCTCGCCCTTCTCCTTCCCCACATCTGCCGACTCGTAGCATTCCCGCGCCGTCATCCTTCTCTTCCTCATTCCCCTGATCTGCCGACCCCACCGCCTCTTCCGCCGCTCCCGCCTCAACCGTACCCTCTACATACTCCACCACGAACTCCACCTCTTCATCCCCCCCCTCCTCATCCTTCCCTCCCTCCCACTTCTCACCATTCTCGTCCTTATTCTCTCCTCCTCCTCCTCATACTCCTCCTCGTCCTTACGCTTACCGCCTCGTCTTCCTCCTCCGACTCCGACTCCGACTCCGACGACGACGACGACGACGACATTCTCCGTTTCCGACCTTCTGTGCACCTGCCTCTGCGTCGTCTCCTCCACCGTTTCCACCTTCCCCAGGCACCCCTCGCGTTCCCATGATGCTGGGCGGCAACTGCACCTTGGGGCGCCTTCTGTCCTTCCGCGACGTCGTCATCTATGGCATTGTCGGCGGGTCCGGCGGCTAGAGAAGTTGGCGTCGCGGTGCGTTTTACGGGCAATGACCTTGCGACGTACTCAACCATGCTGTCGCGCAAAGCCTTCAGCCCCTTCATCCCGATGCTCTCGATGCTCACCCCACGACGACCCTTCTCGCTGTCAGATGGTCGATCTGTTTTGCTACCCACTCCGAACGACGTCGCGGAAAGCACGCCGGCACCGACATGCCCGTCCGACACTGTGCCGGCACTTTCTGCATACAAGCACGGAACATGATGAGCGGAGCGTTCAGAAACGGGCACCCCCCCCTTGCGACTTGAACGTGCAACTCACATCGCGGATAGGAGTGGTCGCAGTCGGCCAGCCTGACCTCCACCACTGCTTGTGATGGCGGCGCCCAGTCCCACATCCTACCGGGACGCCCCAGCTCGGCCAGGACAGCCGTGCGGAAGAACCTGAAGCACCGCGGTGGGGGAGGCGGTCAGCGTGTGATACCCTGTGTCGCCGACTAACAAGGGGTCATCGACGACAATTCAGCACTTAACTTTAGCACGCGGGCGGCCCGTCGCGGTGATACCCTTTACCGGTCTGCGGGTCGATGTGCCGGATTGAGGGTCCTGCACACCTGTCCCTCAGCCTTCAACAGATCTCCAGGGTATAGGATGGCAATGACGCTGCAGTGCGTTCTGGAAAGCGCACGAGGCTGCACATGCAATTCACGACGACGTCGATCACATCACCACGCGATGTCGCGACACTAAACAACGAACACTGATCAAAGGTGAAACAGCCACATCGTTCTTAACGGGGATAGCGGCGATGTCGGCGTCGAAAACCGCCAGCAAAGCATGAATGGTCGGCCAGCCGCATGGCCGATCGAAGCGTGCCGACGTCGAGAAACCCACAAACGAGGTTCTCGACCAAGTGGGGACCACGCGAACAACCTGACGGCACACGATTGGGCAAGGAGGTTCATACAAGGGCGTTGAGCAAACGCGCGAAAAGTACAGAGGGCGACTACGTGTGGTCGACGATTCCTAAGGTGGCCGGCGTTCCTGGAGGGGGTCTATGCCTAATACCGCGCACGTCGACGTAAATCAGAGGCCACTGCGTCGACACCCAACCTAGTTAAGTCGGCGCCGACTACTCGAGTCGTACCTGATGCCGAAATCCAAACATCCGTCGTTGAACTCTATCTTGTGGTTGCGAAGAACTAAGAAGTCTTCCCACTCTAAAGTGAAGCTGAGACCAGGACCCATTTGGTGACGAAGAGGGAAGTCAGCCGAAGTCGGCGCCGAGTTATCGGGGTCAGGGCTTAGGGTCCATACCGACTAAGGGGAAGCGATATCACGATAGCCGCACAGAGCAACGAAGGAGGAAAAAAGGAAAAGGAGGAGCGAAACGAGATGCGGAAAATGGGGAGCGAGGCCCACCATCCACAAAGAAAAGGAATGACGGTGGCCCACCGCATCCCCGTCAGCGTCGCCCAAGGGTGTGGGGCCTGGCTCGGCAGGGCTCTGAGGGCGCATGCGCAAGTGGAACAGGTGGTCCGACCCCGCTTCGGCAGGGCGGCGACCTCGCGTCCATTGTCCCTGGTCGGAGGGGACGGCAATATCGCGTGCGCGATGAGCGTGCATGTCGCACAACACGTGTCGATCTTCGTAGTGGGGTAACGAACCTCGTTGTCCGCGTCGCGGCCTTTTTTTTTTTCGCTTGCAACGCCAAAAATATCGCATGCGCCCGATGCGAAACCACGAAGTCGCGAACACGTGGCGTCACCGCAACGGGTCGCAAAAATTGTCGAGCGTCCCGAGGGGGCCCCGACTTTTCGCCCGGGGCCCTCGCCTGCCCGTCCGGGCAGGCCGCGATGGTTACTAGGACCTCGCGAGCAGGTGGCGCGTGTGGGCTGCCTTCGCGCGAGGGTAATTTTCCCACGCGCGAGGTGTCGCCAGTTCGCCTACCCCCACCCGGTAACGTGGGCCGCTGTTCACATTCGGTGGCGGGGCCTGCGAGGCGGCGGTCGTGCGCTCGGCCCAGCCTTGGGCCAGGCTGCGGGCCCCGCACGCGCTTCAGTGCTCCGCCCCGTCAGCCCAGGCTTCGACGACCCCCCTCGACGACACTGGCAATTCGGCTCCGTCGACCGAATTCCCGCTGGGTGTTTCGGCCTGCGGTTACTCGGTCTGATCTGGACTGTAACCGAACCCAATCTTCGCTAGGTAGCGCGAAACACTCCTCAAGATGCGGCGGAATGTCCTCCCAGTCCAGATCAGACAGGTGGGGTGGGGTGGGGGAGGGGGGAGCTTGGAAAGGCGGAATCGCGTCGGAAAGGGTTTGATCTGGTCAGATCCTCCCGAGTCGCCCTCTGTAGATCGAGAAAGGGGGGAGGCGGAGGGGAAGCTTGAAAAAGCCGGAGGGCGCGACGGGAATTAGTGGGTAGGGGGCCCATCGGAACGTCGCCACTGGCCTTTGGGGTCGCTCAAAAGTCACCTAATCGACAATAGGGAGTGGTGAGGCGATGTGAGAGTCAAATGTTGCAGACAAGGCGATTCTGTTAAAACTCGATGGTGCATAGGTATTTCAAAACGGTACTGATTGGTTATTTTGACTTCTCCTCACCTTCTCACACACCCTTCAGTTGAAGATAGGATTTGTGTGGAGGAGACAGCGGTGCAGATAAGTCAAGACGATACACTCGAACGGGGAGCGTTCTTGCTTTCAAAGTTCAAAGCCATCCCTCACCTGTCCCCCCCTTCCCCCTTCCATCCCCCCCACCATCTCCCCACCCCCCCCCCCCTCCTCCCACCCAACTAGTAGCGACGCGCCCACCGATCCCTCCCCATCCTTCACCTTGTCCCCCGTCCCGTAAGTTACAGATCCAGCCACGTCACGACGATTCGCATCCACACTCTTTCTCTCACTCTCTTCCTCCCAGTCGCAGCGCTAGCGGCTCGCGTGGCGGTAGCCGCCTGCTAAGCGGTGTGTGCGTGGTGGCGATTTTGCTGCTTACCGGATTTCTCGACCGCTATTTGTACCACTACACAGCAATTGAAGGCCCGAAACCCGACGATTTTTTGGTGACGTGGGCGTGCCTCCGTTCCAGTTTGCTGCCTTATCATGCCTCCGCCCATCTCGACCTCCAATGGTCCGTCGAGCAAAAAGGTGTGGCGGCTCGCGTCGCGATCGCGCAATGTTCGGGCGTTTTTCCCTATCCTTCCATTCCTGGCTGCTTCGGCAACTATCTAGTCTTTATCCCTAGTGTAACGTTAGTAACGTGTAGGGTGTGTGTGTGTGTGTGTGAACCCTGTCTGTCACTTGAGCTCATGCCGAACCTAGAGCCACACGTGCGGTGTTCTCCGCACCACTTTGTTGACCGTGCGTCTTGTCTTGCCGCCTCGCCCTGGGCTAGTACTAGGTTCCCTTTTATCTTGCGACTGTCCTTGTCACTTTATTCAGTCCGCAATTCGCCATTTCTGCAGTGGCGCAAACCTTTTCTTGTCCAACCGCGTTCTGCTTCTCGTCAAGAATTGCCTCATCCAGTCGCCAAAATTACTTCAGCTTTCAAGCCTCATCTGCCTGACGACTCGTCAAACATCCGGAAGCCTTTCTTTACGCCCCCTTCCGTCCTTTCCGCGATTTCGCTACCTACATTTCACCCTCATGGCGGCGCTGTCAGGGTCGTTCCCTACCAGCCTAGTGCCAATGGATGAAAGACTTGACTGATTCCGTCTTCTTTCACGTTGACGGTGTCGGGCGTTCCACACAACTACTGGAGAATATGCTGGCCGAGCAGCATGATTCCGCGTGCCAGGATTCCGAGAGGTAAGTGTGGTTTCGCACAATTCACAATCTGCAGCGGCGACATATCAGGCCATTAAAGCGCCTTTTGCAGTGTCGTTTCGTCTCTCTTCGCCATGGTTGCCGGCGTTGCTAGTAGGCCCGTCCTCGCTTCTCACGTCTCCTCCCATTTCCCCTTTCCCCCTCCTCGGTTTCCACGGGCTCCTCATGTTTTCCCCTTCCCCCTTCACCCTTCCCCCGTGTCAGGGCGTCCAGTCGGGCCAATGAGAGCAGTGCGGCGGACAGGGCGTCCAGTCGGGCCAATGATAGCAGTGCGGCGGACAAGCAGCCGTCGCATGGTAGGGACCCCGGGTCGTGGCACGGCAGTCGCAGGGACCAAGTGCACTACACCGGCGGCGCTGCCTCCCATAAAAGGCAAGGCATTTGGCGCCTCTATACTTTCCTTGGCGTCTTTACCCGCGACCGCATTGGTCCTGAAAGCAACTCTGCCCTTCGTCTCGTTCCATCTCCTCGTTATTGGCCAATCGTTCATTTCTTCCAATGCTTTTGGCGTTCCCCATCTCACAACCTCCCCTCTCCTGGCGGCTTCCCCCTTCTCACGTCTCTCCCGACGTCCCCCGCGTGTGAGGCCAGGCAGCGAGAGGAGCCGAGCGAGTCAAACAGCAACAAGGCCAATCAGGAGAAGATGCGCTGCGACCGACTCAACGACAGGTGCGACGCTGCTGCTGTCTGCTGGGTGCTCTCCATACTCCATCATCACTCGCTTTCGTCCTGCTGTGTGGTCTCGAAGATTCCTCGTTTTTCTCGAGGAATGCAGCCGCATTCTTTCGCAGCGCCTATTTTTTGGGCACATTATCAACTTCCCCCTCAGTTCTGTCCTTCCCTCTCAATCCCTCATCCCCTTCTTAGTTACCCCCCCCCCCCTCCCCCCCCCCCCCCCACACCTCAGGTTCGAGGAGTTGGCGCGGGCGCTGGAGAGGAGCGAGCTGGCTGCGCGCGGACAGGGGGAGCATTCTGGTGGACGCCGTGCGCGTGCTGGCGCAGCTGAGGGCGGAGACGAGCCGGCTGAGGGGCTCCGCGGAGCACATGAGCGAGCAGATCCAAGAGCTCAAGGCGGAGAAGAGTGAGCTGAGGGAGGAGAGGGCGCGCCTGCTGGCCAACAAGCAGCAGCTGGAAGACGAGGTCCGCCGCTTGTGTCAAATTATATGATTTATATAATTTAGGTTTAGGTTTTGTAGGGGTGTTTCTTAGGGGGTACAACTTTTCTCTCGTCACTTTTGTACCCCATGCCCCAAACTAGTCGACATCATTCCTCTCTCACCTTGACATGGTATAGAGCAGGAAGGTTCCTAGGAAGGGCCCACCACGTTTAAGAAATTTTTTTCTGCCCGGAGCGCGCTTTGCGTTTCCCCTAGTCGCGCCACGGGCGCTTTCTCCTCGACGGCCAGTTGCGGCCGTTTCTTTCTTCGTTTTTTCCCGGCCCCTTTGTTGGCCCCCGCGCGACTCTCTCACGGCCTCCCCCCCCCTCCTTTTTTTTTTTCCACGGCCGTGTCGTGACTCTGTCGCGCCTTTGCGGCGTCGCTGCCGCCCGACCGCGGCCTCGTCGCCGCCGATTCGCGGCCTTGTTGCCGCCGGTTTGCGGCCTGGTCGCCACTGCAGCTGCAGCAGCAGCAGCCGCCGCGCCATCTGCAGCAGCCGCCGCTGCATCTCCAGCAGCAAGCCGCAGCCACACCTTCTGCAGCGGCCGCCGCGTCATTTCCTGCAGCATCAACGGCCGCATTGTCTGCGGCAGCCGCCGCTGCATTTTCAGCAGCAGCAACTGCCGCTTCTTCCGCAGCAACTGCCGCTGCATTTCCAGCAACAGCAACTACTGCACCCTCTTCAGCGGCAACTGCCGCATCTTCAGCAGCAGCCGCCGCTGCATCTACAACAGCAGCAGCTACTGCATCTTCTCCAGCGGCTCCTTCCGCATCTTCAGCAGCAGCCGCCGCAGCATCTCCTGCAGCAGCAGCTGCCGCATCTTCATCAGCAGCCGCCGCAGCATCTACTGCAGCAGCAGCTGCCGCATCTTCAGCAGCAGCCGCCGCAGCATCTACTGCAGCAGCAGCTGCCGCATCTTCAGCAGCAGCCGCCGCAGCATCTCCTGCAGCAGCAGCTGCCGCACCTTCTGCAGCAGCAGCCGCCGCCACCTCCTGCAGCGACAACTGCCGCATCTACTGTAGCAGCAGCCGCCGCCACATCCTACAGCGGCAACTGCCGCATCTTCACCAGCAGCCGCCGCAGCATCTACTGCAGCAGCAGCTGCCACATCTTCTGCAGCAGCAGCCGCCGCTATCTCCTGCAGCGGCCGCCGTAGCTACATCAGCATCAGCCGCCGCTGCCTCTGCAGCAGTGGCCGCCGCCGACCCAGCAACGACCGCCTCCGCATCTCCAGCAGCGGCAACAGCCGCACCTCCTGCAGCAGCTGCCGTCGCCGACTCAACTGCAGCAACTGCCGCAGCTGTCCCAACTGCTGCTGTTCCTGTTATCCTTCCATTTTCGACTGTTCCTCCTCCTGCTATCATGGCTAGCGCTCCTGTCCTAGCCTTCGATGCTGAGGTCGCCCAGTGAAATTTGACACCTGGCTTGAGGATCTCCACCTCTTCCTACAGCTCACTGCCAAGGAAGACATCTCCCTGTATGATCATGCCCTCGGCCATGCTACTGCCCCTGACTCCTCTGCTGCCAGCACGCTACGCTCCCAGTGGCAGACCCGCGACGCGCATGCTCGCTTTGCTATCCGCAACTCGCTACCGCTAGATGAGCGCGAGCACTTCGGCCAGTGCAAGACTGCTCAGGACCTGTACACAGCCGTCGTTGCCCGCTACTCCTCGCCTGCGTCTGCCACCCTAGGCCGTCTCACCCTACCCTACCTCTTCCCTGACCTGGCCTCTTTTCAGACCGTTGCCGATCTCATTACTCACCTTAAGACCAGTGAGGCCCGCTTTCGCGCTGCTATGCCTGCCGAGTTCCTCGCCAGCAACCCCCCACCGCTCTGGCTCACGCTCTACCACATTGTCACCCGCCTCCCTGACTCACTGCGCGCAGTCAGGGACTCTCTTCTTGCTCGCTCCCCTACTGAGCTCACCATCGCCATCCTTGAGAAGGATCTACTTGCAGCTGAGGCGAGCATCGTCGCCGTAGGTGCCTCTCGTGGCGAGCCCCGCCACCCCTTCTTTGAGGGGTGTTCCCCTTCCCCCCTTCTCCCCTCTGTCGCCACTGCTGCTGCTGTCGACCTCCTTGGTGCTGAGAAGGTCGGGGCTGCGTCTGCCTCGAGCGGGCGTCGCAAGAGCAGGGGGGGCAAGGGTGGGGGTGGAGGCGGGGGCGGTGGGGGTGGCGGCAGTGGGGGTGGCGGTGGGTCTGGAGACACTGGTGGTGGCAGTGGGGGTGGTGACAGCGGCGGCGGGAGTAGTGGCGGCAGCGGCGGTAGCAGCGGCGGCGGTGGTGGTCGTGGTCGCGGCAGGGGTGGAGGTGGCCGAGGCGGTGGCGGTGGCGGTGGTGGTCGTGGAGACGCTGGTGGTGACCAGGGTCAGCAGCACGCCCCGACCCTCCAGGCCGCCCGTGAGTGGTACGCACAGCGTGGTTCCACTTGCACGTACGTCCACCGCACTGGTGACCGCAAAGGGCCTGCCGTGTGGGAGGCCGCACCCCACGCAGCGCTGCTACCAGCGCCTTACTGACGCGTGGCGCGCCCAGTTTCCTGGGGGTGCTGAGCTGCCCCACTGGCCTGAGCTGGAAAAGAAGGGTGTTGATATTTGGGCTTTAGACTTTGATGCTATTCTCACTGCCATGTATGCGATGTCTATTAGTGGAGAGAGTGCTCAGTACCTGCGTGTTCCGCCCGACCCGGGCATTGTGACTTGTCAGGCTCCCGCTCTCAGTACTTGTGAGACTGCTGTTCCAGGTTCTGGTGAGGCTGCTGCTCGAGGTGCTAGTGTGTCTGCTGCCCTAGGTTCTGGTGAGGCTGCTGCCCTAGGTACGAGTGTGTCTGCTGCCCCAGGTCCTGGTGAGGCTGCTGCCCTAGGTACTAGTGTGTCTGCTGCCCCAGGTCCTGGTGAGGCTGCTGCCCTAGGTGCTATAGCCCCAGTCGCCCCTGGTACTGAGCCGACCGCCGCACTCCACACCTTCACTCTTGACTCAGGTGCTTCCCGCTCCTTCTTTCGTGACCGCACTGTCCTTGAGCCTCTTGCTCGGCCGGTTGCAGTCTCGCTAGCTGACCCCACTGGGGGTCCAGTCGTTGCGACTCACTCCACTGTCCTCCCTTGTCCTGCAGTCCCGTCCGGCACGCTGTCGGGTCTCTACCTCCCCTCGTTCTCTACGAACTTGGTGGCAGGATGTGAGCTACAGGATGGGGGTGTTCACCAGACCACCCCTGCCTACGAGCGAGTGACCCACTGCACGTGTGCCCGGACGGGTCGCCACCTGGCTACCTTTACTCGCGAGCCGGGGTCGGACCTGTACACACTGACCACTGAGTCCCCTCAGGTAGCTGCGTCCGCGTCTGCGTCGGCGTCAGGTCAGCTGTCCGCCCCCTGCTCGTGTCGCTCTCTGACGCACGACACTGTCCTCTGGCACCACCGACTTGGCCACCCGTCTGTGCAGCGCCTTCGTGCCATGCACAAACGGCAGCTTGTCTCTGGTCTCCCTCGGGTTCTCCCTCCCCTCCCCCCCTCACCTGCTCCCGACTGCATTCCCTGTGTTGAGGGGCGGCAGCGCGCCGCTCCCCACTCCTCCTCCTTCCCCCCGACGACTGCTCCTTTGCAGACGCTACACATGGACGTGTGGGGCCCAGCCCGCGTCCGTGGTCAGGGTCAGGAGCGGTACTTCCTGATAGTTGTCGACGACTACTCGCGCTACACCACGGTCTTCCCCTTGCGCAGCAAGGGTGACGTCCCTGATGCCTTGATCCCCTGGATCAGCCGAGCCCGTCTCCAGCTAGGCAAGCGCTTTCGCTCGGACTTTCCAGTCCTACGCTTGCACTCTGACAGAGGTGGTGAGTTCGCCTCCGACCTCTTGGCAGCCTACTGTGCTGAGCACGGCATCGAGCAGTCGTTCACGCTTCCGGCCTCTCCACAGCAGAATGGGGTCGCTGAGCGCCGCATTGGCTTGGTCATGGAGGTCGCTCGTACCTCCCTGACCCATGCGGCTGCTCCCCACTTTCTGTGGCCGTTTGCGGTCCGTTACGCAGCGCATCAGCTCAACCTCTGGCCCCGTGTCTCCTTCCCGGAGACTTCCCCGACTCTGCGGTGGACGGGAGAGGTTGGTGATGCGTCGCGTTTCCGGGTGTGGGGATCCCGAGCCTTTGTCCGCGATACGTCTGCGGACAAGATCTCGCGTCGCGCTGTTCCCTGTGTCTTTCTTGGCTTTGTCCCCGACGCGCCTGGCTGGCAGTTTTACCACGTCGCCTCGCGCCGGGTTCTGGCCTCTCAGGACGTCACTTTTGACGAGTCTGTCCCCTTCTACCGCCTCTTCCCCTACCGCACTGCCCCACTCCCCCCACCGCCGCTCTTCCTCGCACCAGGTGCTGCTGTGGTAGACCCCCTCCCCCCTCAGGGTGCCGCTCCCTCAGGTGTGTCCCAGGTAGACCCGGTTGACCCTGTTGAGGTAGCTGTCGAGTCCCGCCCTGCCAGAGGTGCTGAGCCTGAGAGTGCGGAGCCTGACAGTCCCGAGCCTGGGGGTGCGGAGCCTGGGGGTACTGAGCCTGGGGGTGCGGAGCCTGGGGGTGTGGCGACTGGGGGTGCTGCGTCTGGGGGTGTTGAGCCTGAGCGCACTACGTCTGGAGGAGCTCTCTCCTCCCAGCAGCTGCAGGAGAGATACCTACAGTACTGCCGCCTCCGGAGCGGAGCTTCTGGAGCTCGTCCCAGTACTTTCCCTCCTGCCCAGGAGCTCCCCCCCATTCAGCAGATCCGAGAGTGGTACGCGCGGCGCTGCAGTCTCCGGAGTGGTGCCCCTGGTGCTGAGGACCTGGACGTTGGCGTTGTCGCTGGTGCTGAGGACCCGGGCGTTGGAGCTGCTGCTGGTGCTGCGGACCCGGACACTGGCGTTGTCGCTGGTGCTGAAAACCCGGACGTTGGCGTTGTCGCTGGTGCTGAGGACCCGGGCGTTGGAGCTGCTGCTGGTGCTGAGGACCCGGACGTTGGCGTTGTCGCTGGTGCTGAGGACCCGGGCGT